TTCTGGCACCCAGGAAAGTACATAATTTAGACCTTTTGTACAGCATGGCATGAAGACAAGCAAATAATAATTTAATTCTTTCAGTTTTTACATAATTGTTGTGTTAACTGTATTCATTAGGCTCAATTGTTCAACACTGTTATCCAAGTAATCTCAATGTATGTAAGTTTTGTAAGTTTTTATGTAACTAAAAACCAATATTTTGTCCTAAACTAGCTATCCTTTGTCAAGCAGCATTGTAATTGTTAACTAAACAATTTAAAACACCATAAAACTACTATTAATTGGTAATTGAAATAAAGCTGAAATAAAATAAACTGTAAATATTAGATGAAAAACTTAAAAACCTAAAGGAAAAACTAAAATGAATAAAATGAAAACTCAAGTAAATATAAAATTAAAGCTAAATAGAAATATCACAAAACAAAAACTAATAAAAATGACAAATTTAATACTAAAAATAACAAAATTACTAAAAATGTATATGCAAACTGAAAATATTAAATTAAAAGCTAATTTAAAAATGTAATACATGCTGTAATAGTATATAAATAATACTAAGACGGCACTAACTGCTAAGTGACAGTTTGATTTAGGCTACATTTGCAACCCTGTTATCCATTCAGATGCTGTTATTTATTTATTTATTTCCAAAGATAAAGTAACAAAAAGCAAAAAATGAGGTTTTCAAAATATATTTAGACATGTCCTGAATATTAGTAACGGGGTTGAAATACTGCAAATATATTTCAGAAAATAAATAGTAAATAAGGCTACGTCCACATGAAGCCAGAGCTTTCCCTATACAATCTTTTTTTTTTCCCCTCGTCTCAAGAAATATCTGGGTCCACACGAAACCACGAAACCGACACAAAACGATGTAGTATACATGCCAGACCAGTATGTGGCGCTGTAATTCTGCCACAGAGATACACTACAAACTGAGAAGAAGACTTGGACTATGCGCATAAACCTTGCGAGCGGTATACAAACGAACATGGAACAATACATTTATTAATATGTGTTAATGTTAGTTAATAAAAAGACAACCGTTAAGTGTTTGTTCATGTTGTTGTTGCTGTTACGTGACGTAGAGGTGTCTGACTAGGGGCGAGACGTGGGCTGATGACGTCATCGTTTCAGAAAATATACGGATTCGTTGTCCACACGAAAACACAAGGGCGGCATTTTCAGATTTATCCACTCTGGGCCCCGGTTTAAAAAAATATCGGTTTCACTCTCCCAAAACTCTGGATCCGTCTGGACGAAACGCCTATACGATACAAAATGTATGCGTATACAGCTAAACGCGTCTCCATGTGGACGGGGCCTAAAGCATATGTACACTATATACCCATTTAAACTTGTATATATTACATATATATATATATATATATATATATATACACAATTTCATATAAATATAAACAGTTCTGTCTCCTGTTGTGGATGAACAGCTTTCTGAAGGTTAAGCTCCTGACGTTTACTGACCTTTTGTTGAAGAAGAAATCAAGCTGACTTTAAGCACTATTTTTGTCATGGAAAGTGACATCTCGCCACTAGTGGATACCAAGATGTCCAAACATGACGTTCTGAATAATAAAATAAATATCCAAAATGGTTGACAGCAAGCTAAACACATTAATGGATCAAACAAACAATATTATGTACAACAATACTATGAATATATCAGCATCTACTTGTGTGGTTGCTGAAATACGCCTGGAAACAGGTTGCCAAATATCTTGGAAATAAACAACTCAGCAACTCATTAAACACTTGAAATGAAGTAATGGATGAGTTCAAACATTTATGAATTGATCATTCCAGAGCGCTCGATTGCAGCTGTATCATGTCGACCAGATGTGCGCGTTAGTCTTGATAAGCGTTGAAGATCTCAAGGCTAAACGCCGTACCCCACTCAGTCTTACAACCCTAATCATTTCATCACATACAGGCCAGTGGAGTCAATTAGCATGCTAGTTTAGTTGCTAAGTAGCATAGCACGAATGTATTTCAGTCGTATGTTAAGTTATGACTTATAACTGTTCCAAACCATCATATAATGAACAAACGTCAGTGCTTAGATGTTTTAAGGCTGGGACGCATTAATGGAAACCATTTCCTCTCGAATTCTGGCTAGACCTCAATGTGAAATACTATCATATGGACCTGTACGCTGGTCCAGCACCTTAAAAGCCTGAGAAAGTCTGTCCATCATGCTGATAGAAGGACTCAATGGACCGGGTGGAGTCACAACCAGATGCGTCTCTGTGTGATATAAGGAAAAGAGGCTTTTGTGGCCGTGCTTGTTTTTAAGACTTTAGGTAATGAGAATGTGTGTGTTTAGGAAGTGGGTGGGAAAGGGGGATTTTTCTTCATTTATCAGAAATCCGTATTAAACGACATTGTGGGAAATGTTCCCGATCCTGCGCATGACATATGATCAACTCATGCTAGACTCTCTATTGCCATGATCTCATCGGAAGGTTGTTTCTTTTGTCGACAATAAAATAAAGATGTCGAGTGTGATTGTGTGATGCAAGCGCCGTTTTCACGCTATATGTGAATGCTCTGAACAAACTAGCGAACAAAACACAGACCATCACTGCAGAGGAACAGATGAGCTTATTGTGGATTTAATGGGTGTAAAAAGGAGACAAACAAATAAATAGAGCAATTACTAAAATAAATAACTAAATAAATAACCTTGTCTGAATACATTTAAAAATAAATAAAAAAATATTACTAAATGAACTGAGAAAGAAAAAGGAAAGAAAGAAAGAAATACCCCAACATAAATGTTACTATTGTGTAATAATTTAATGTTCAATTTCATATTTCTTTTTTACTTTTAAAACGAAGCAAAATAATTTCTAAATAAAACGTACATAAGAATGACTAACTAAAATATTAAGAATAATTTCTAACAATTTAAAAAGGAGACAAATAAACAGAGTCTAAATACATTTCAAAATAAATAAAATATCAAATGAACTGAAAAAGGAAGAAGGAAGGAAAGAAAGATATATTTCCTTTTTTACAAATAAATATAAAATAAGTATAAAGAAAGAAAGAAAGAAAGAATGAATTAAAGACCAAATTCTAAAATGATAAATGAATGAACGAATGAACAACAATTCCTAAGGAATCATCTCTAAATACATTGAATAACGAACAAATAAATAAATAAATAAATAAAAGAAAGAAAGAAAGAAAGAAAGAAAGAAAGTGTAACGAGGGAGGCGTGACGTTAGAAACACGGAAACTTAGAAACCACGGAAGAGCTATACAACATTCAATCACCAGAGATGACAGAGAGTGTGTGTGCTATTCTTATAGTCCTACTAGGGGAGGGATGGAGGGCCAGGTCCATGAGGAAGGAGAGGAACAGGGGACAGAGACAGAGCCGGCGGAGCAGAGAGCCAAGGTGGAACTGGCGGAGCAGAGGGACAAGGCGGAGCAGTGAGCCAAGGCGGAGCCATCAGAGCAGAGAGCCAGGGCGAAGTCGGCGGAGCAGGGAGCCAGGGCGGAGCAGTAAGCCAAGGCAGAACCAGTGGAACAGAGAGCCAGGGCAGAGCCGGCAGAGCAGAGTGCCAGGGCATTGCAGTGAGCCAGGGCGTAGCCGACAGAGCAGGGAGCCAGGGCAGAGCTGAAGACCACCAGAGCAGAGCTAAGGACCACCATGGCTGAGCAGGCAGAGCAGAAGACCACCAGGGCGGAGCTGATGGTGCAGAATACCACCAAGGCGGATCAGGCAGAACTGGAACATAGAGCACAGAGAGGTTAACAATGGCCTCAGCGGCCGTAACAAGACTGGCAGACAGTTCAGAAATGGCATCTTTAGCCATAACAGGGTGAGCAGAGAGTTCAGGGGCAGCCTTTTTGACCTTGGCTGGAATGTCAGAGAATTCAGAAACGACCTCCTTGGTCGGAACAGGACAGACTAAGAGTTCAGAAACGGCCTTCTTAGCCGTAACCGGATAGGCAGAGAATGCACAGACGGCCTCCATAGCTGTGACAGGACAGGCAGAGAGTT